AAGAAGAAGAAGTCCAGCTGCTGTTGGTGACTCTGGGAGCTGGCACCGGTCGGAGGGGGGATTGCGGGGGGCGGACTGAGCGCGCTCACTTCAGCGTGAAGACGTTCTTCTTCTTCTTGTAGCCGTTGGTGACGTCGCAGTGGCAGTGGGACAGGCTGAGCAGCGGCTCGCTGTTGTACGGCGTGCTCGTGTTCTTGGCATCCTTGTAGAAGCCCATCTCCCCCTGCCTCAGCACGCAGTACAGGTTCACCCAGGACCTGCTGTGGTGTGGGCAGAGGGGGGGGGGGAGGGGGTGGGGGGGGGGGAGGGGGGGGGGGGGGACATTTGGAGGAGTCAGGACGAGCTGCAGAGCGGCTGTCGCTAAGCTAACACCGCACTCACCTGACCAGAGCAGACAGGTAGGTAGGCGGGATGGACCAGCCCCAAGAAGGGAGGAAACACACTGCTGAACAAACACAGATGATCGCACGAACACAGGGATGACCAGACGAGGAGGTGGGCGTGGTGGGATGTGGGGGGGGGGCTAGCGAGGCGGGGAGAGGGGGCGGGCGGGGGCTACGCACAGCTAGCGTGCTACTGCGAGCGCGGCTTTTCCGTTTGACTTACCTTAGAGGAGACAAGAGCGGCAGCCAGGAGCAGGAAGGGGGGGAGAGCACAGAGAAGAAGGAGGAGTTTGGTTAAAGGCCGTTTCCACCGCCGGGCTTTCTCAAACTCCGCCCGCCAACGCATGCACAAACGCACCCCGCCGCTCCAACCGTTCAGGCCCTCCGGGGGGGTTTTTTTTTTTTATTTGGGGTGGAAACGCCCTGCACAGGGACCCGGTTCGGGGGGAGAAAGCCTGAACGGTTGGCACGGCGACGGGTTTGACGCTCACAGTGCGGCTTAATATCCTGATACGCACAGAGTAGGAGGATGTGGTAAACGGGGACTTCTGCTTTCACTTTGACGGGATGCGTCGATTTAAAAACGCTTTTTTACAGGGTTGAAGCTAACTTCTTCAGCCAAAATTCATCTAAGACATTTAGATTCTATCTATCTATCTATCTATCTATCTATCTATCTATCTATCTATCT